TTGGTTTTTCGTGGGGTAGACTGGAATTATCAACCACCACTAGTCTTTGTCCCTTCTTTTCCTCTCCCGAAGCAAGGGAACATACAGGATTCTGTTTTATAGATAGGTCAAAGCCCTGGATAAATCCTCCATCCAAGGACTACTTGGCCAGGATTGCATTCATGGTATATGGGACTCCTGTTCAGACCACTCAGCTATCAGGTAGCTGCTATTAAAGCAGGAGAGGTCACAGAATTATAAACACAACAATGAAGAGTTGAAAATGGCATTGCTCTATGGGAAAGAGGAGACCCACTGGTGAGAGAATCTCTCCAAATGCTGTCCCTGGAAGCTCGTTAACCCCGTTTTCCTATGAGTCTTTGGCAAAAAGAAGTGGTGTCTAGGCAGAAGGGGTCTCAGAGTTACATTCTTGGGGATCCTGGTAATAGGCTGAGTTTCTAGCGTTTTAGAAAAACAAAGGAGGAAATAGAGTCTACCCCTCTGAACCTAAGTAGCAACCAGAACAACACAGAAGACACTTGCAGGATGTTTCTCTAAAGTTATACTAATATTGCAGGAGTGTAGTGAGTTGAGGGCAGCAGGGTTGATTCCAATAGGATGGTTGATGAGGGCCTTAACTTGCTAGCTAATAGAACAATACAAGGGAGGGTCATCACCACTTAAATCTAATCCTCAAAATCTCTGTGTATATGGCAGGTCTTCTCTGACCTTCCAAGCGTCCAGCAGCATACTGTTGGAACAGACTCAAATACTTATTTCCATAAGAAAAAAAACAGTCAAAAGTCACAATTGCCCCACAATTATCCAACCCCTCATAAGGAATTCGTGTCTACATTATACGTAAATCTGTGTTAGTTATTTTCATTAATCTTGGCCCTTACCATCTTCTACCAATTTTGCTTTCTTTGGGCTTTGGGGAATAAGGAAGTAGACCAATTACTGAGCTATAGCTCTCTCTCCCTGTCCCCTAAGCCACAATCACACTACTTCCAGTTTGTAATACCGTGCTTTATAGTCTGTAAGGAATTTTTTAAATCTCATTTCACCCTTATTCCTGTAAGCTTAGGTGATGATGATAGGATCATGAGCAATTTCCTCCAATTTTATCCACAAAGAAATAGAGACTCAAATAGATAGTATAACTTGTCCCAGACCATATGGACTCTAGGCCTTCTAGCTCCAAGTTCAGCCTTCTTTCTCAACCTCATCTTGAAGGGATGAAGTAAGGAGGATCTTCAGATTCATAAAGATTTGTTTCTGCTTCCCCTCTCCCTCCCCATCCATTCTTCTCTCAAGGAAAAGTGTCCCAAGGAAATGCCAGAGGGTGCCAATATCTTCACCATAAAAAAAAAAAAAAGCTCAGTTTTTTAACATTTCATAGGAGAGTTTAAGTCCAAGTCGTAAGTACTACTGGAGTTGAGAAACTCTTCCTTCTCCTCTTTGTCTTGCATTTCCAATTCTTATTCCCCTCCTCTATAATTGTTCTGTCCTCCTTTTCCTTTGCTTCTACCCTAATTCTTCTCATTCTGCTCTTCTCATCATTGGTATCATTATCATTAATATCACCATCATCATCTCTGTCTGGCAGCAGACTCCTTGTTTGATTGGCACTTAGCATTCTATTACTGTAGAATAGAATAGAATACTGTATAATAGAACAGAGTGTTCTCTTCTATTAATCCATCTTTGAGAAGCCCTTTCTCAGGTTACATAAGATTTTCTATTTAGAGTACATTAGTGAATGCAATTGTGTCTAAATTAAAGTGGCTCATGCAAAAATGATAGAGCAACAGTGTTCCATTGTTCTCAAAGTGCCCACAATCATGTTTGGATACTTCACTTTCTCTAGGCTAAAAAAATTCCTTTTTTTTTTTAACAAACAAATAATGCTGCCTTCCAGGCTTTGCTTCTACAGCTTCCACTGTTGTTCTCATAGAAACCAAAAAAAGGAACACACGTTGACCTTTAGAGCTAATTATTGTGAGGAATTTGCAGATGAAAGCTTTGTACTATTTCAGAGTGGGCAGATAATTTATCTTGGACTAAAGACTTGGACAAAAAGAGATAAGAAGAATAAACAGTCACAGACTTCAAATATATACCTTCCTCACATCAATTACATGGACTATTATCCAAGCATATTAAATATTTTATAACAATATGGGAAATATTTATGACGTATTAAAGAGAAGAAAAATTACAATGCAAAATGGTAAGTATTTGATGATGAAAATGATGTAAAAGTTATATCACAAGAGAACATGTGAACAGTTAATCAGTTGTATAAGGATGATGGTTTCTAATTTTATTGCAGTGTCTTCAGAGAACATGGTCTACATGAAGCCTATTATTTGATGTTTGTTGAGGCCTGCACCGGTTCTATTAAGTCGGCAGTTTTTATAAATATTCTCGTGTGCTTGAAAAGAACATGCATTTTCTATTGAGTGCAGTGTTCTATATAGGATTGTTAGATAAAGCTTCTTAATTGTGTTCAATTTTTTTATACCTTTCCTAATCTTTAGTCTGACTGATATATAACATTAAGGAGTTATGTTAAAATCTCCCACTATGATTGCAGATTTGTTCTTTCTCATTAAATTCTACTACTGTTTGTTTTCTCTATTTTGAGGTTATGCTATTAGGTACATACAAGTTTAGGAGTATCATATTTTCTTGATGAATTGTTCCTTTTATCGGTATGTATTATCTCTCTTTATCCCTGGTAATATTTTTGGCTTAAACTATTTTTTTGTCTGATATAAATATAGCTGTACCCATTTGTTGTTAGTATTTGCTTGATATAACTTTTACATTTTTTACTTTCAATTTTTTTTGCAATTTTATATTTTAGATGTCTGTTGTAAATAAGACATACCTCAGTCTTCTAACGGGTGAATTTGGTCTGTTTACATTTATTTTGATTGCAGATAAATTTGGACCATGTTTTTGGTCTTATAGTGTGCTCTTTATTTACACGAATTTTTCTATGCTTTTCCTTCTTTCCGTAAGGTGGAAGTTTAAGTTAAGGATTTGAGATCTTCTTTTCTAACACAGGCATTAAAAACTGCAAATTTCCCACGTAAGTTTTGTTTTAACTGCATCCTGTAAATTTTGCAATGTTTGCTTTCATTTTCATTAAGTTCAAAATATATCTGATAAAAATTTGTATCTAGAATATATAAAGAACTCCTATATAACTCAATAATAATAAGACAACCTAATGAAAAAATGAGTAAAGAATTTTTTTAGAAGATGTAAGAATGGTTAATAAGCACATAAAAAAACATGCTCAACATTGTTATTCATTAGGGAGATGAAAATTTAAACCACAATCATACCACATCACACCCACTAGGATGGCTGAAAATGAAAAGACAGATAACAAATGCTGCAAGGACATGGAGAAATTTGAAGCCTCATACATTGCTGATGGAAATGAAAATTGTACAGTCACTTTGGAGAGCAGTTTGGCAATTTCTTAAAAAGTTAAATACAAATCGTCATGTAATTCAGCAATTCCATTCCTCGGTATATACCCAAGAGACATGAAAATATATGTCCACACAAAGACTTGTATGTTCATAGCAGCATTATTCATAAAAACAAAATGTGGAAACAATTCAAATGTCCATAAACTGTTGAATGAATAAAGCCAATGTGGTATATTAGTATAGCAGAAACTATTCAGAAATAAAAAGGAAGGAAATATTGTTACATGCTATAAAATGGATGAACCTTAAAAAATTATTTTAAGCTGAAAAAAAGCTAGACACAAAAGACTATACATTGTATGATTCTATTTATATGAAATGCCTACAAACAGCAAATCTGTAGAGACAGAAAGCAGATTAGTAGTTTCCTGGGGCTGGGAGTAGGAATGAGGATTGACTACAAATTAGCATGAGGGATATTGGGGGGGTTATGGATATGTTATAAAATTGGATTATGGTTGTTACCAAACAGAAGTTGGGTCTGCTCACCCTCAGTGCAGCAAAGCCAATCTACTGAAAATACAGCATTTATTGCAGGGTGCCAAGCAAGAAGAATGGGCAGCTTCTGTTCAAAAGACCCAAACTCACCAATGGCTTTCAGGGAAAGGTTTTTAAACACAGTGTAAGGGAGAGGGTTGCAGGGTGAGCGATCAGCTCATCCACAATTCTCTCATTGGTTGATGGTGAGGTAACAGGGTGATATTTTGGGAATCTCAATCATCAACCTTCTGGTTCTAACTGGTCTGGGGTCTATGTGCTGGTGGTCAGCATGCAGTTAACTTTTTTCACCTGGTGAGGGTTTTAGTATCTGCCAAGCAACTCAAGGATATGGTTCAGGATATTATCTATAGTCCTTGAGAAGGAACTAAAGGCCCTTGACTTTGTTTTATGGCTAAACTGTTATTATTTTGTTTTGCTTGATGGTTTTTCCTTTGTTTCTGTCTCTTCTCCCTTCTCTGATTAAGTTTGCTCTTTAGAACTCAGGGAAGGCCTAGGAGCCTACAGCTTTTCTATAAACAAGAGGTGGGGGACTAGGTGAGGAGGGGGTCTGTCCCTGGGAAGGCCCCACAGGATCCTGCTTGGTTTCATGGTGATACTTACAGAACTCTAAATTTAGTAATGATCATTGAATTGTACACTTAAAATGGGTGAATTTCATAGTTTGTGAACTATACCTCAATACAGCACTTTAAAAAATAGACCTCTCCAGGGAGCTAGACTAGTTCTGAGTTGTTTTGAAATTATTTTCTACGTTCTGTGCCTAGATGACCAATATTACATTCAGGACTTGTTAAAGGACAGAAAAAAAAACAGTGCCTCAAAACATTCAAGATGAACACAGCAGTCCTCGGTATTCAATGTCATGGCCATTCCAGAAAGAAAAGGTCTAAGTTCAGTGCTGTGAACCTTTCTGGCTGCCTTCCATGGAGGGAGGTTGGAATGAGCTTTGCCCTGGGCTGACACTCTTCCTTGTCACTTATTAACAAGCTTCGTGGGAAGGCTGCTTCACTGACATCCTGCTCTGCCTGGAGAGTGATATTTGACAAAGCTTTGGTGAGCAGAAAAGATGTCCACTCGCTACCACCAAGCTGCTAGTGATAGCTACCTGGAACTTCTGAAAGAGGCTACCAAGAGAGATCTGAATCTTTCTGATGAAGATGGCATGACTCCCACACTCCTGGCAGCCTACCATGGGAACTTGGAAGCCCTAGAAATAATCTGCAGCAGAGGGTAATATCAACCTGATGGTCTTGATTGGAAACTGTTTATGGTAGGGTTTTGCAGACAGCAGCAAGAGGCAGGGAAAAAGTGAAACTACTTTGCTTTCTTTCTAGTCTGTGTAAAAAATTGTCTTTTTAGAGAAAAGGAGAAAATTCTCCAGAGATGCCCTCTTTTCACTCTGAGAACTGGCACCATGTGTTGGCTGATCCTTTATGAGCCACACACACACAGATCCTGAACTCTAAGGCACTATTATTTGCCTTGGGGGAAGATATTTTAATTCTGTGTCTTTAAAAATCTTTTCCGGGCTTCCCTGGTGGCGCAGTGGTTGAGAGTCCGCCTGCCGATGCGGGGAACATGGGTTCGTGCCCTGGTCCGCGAAGATCCCACATGCCGCGGAGCGGCTGGGACCGTGAGCTATGGCCGCTGAGCCTGCGCGTCCGGAGCCTGCGCTCCGCAACGGGAGAGGCCACAGCAGTGAGAGGCCCGCGTACCGCCAAAGAAAAAAAAAAAGGGTGCCATGTTTTACAGGCTTTTGGCACATATTGTGCCAGGAAATTTGAACCACTTTATGCTTCCTCCAGCATTGTTCATTTCCTCCCACTCCTGCCAAAACTGAGTAGTAGAATTCTTTTTATTTGTTGCCTATCTGATAGGCAAATAGATGGTGGTGCGTTGTTTTCACTTGCATTTATTTGATTACTAGTGAGTCTAAATATTCCTTGCTATGTAGAAAAACATTTCTTGAAAGAGTGATTTATTTTCTGAGAACAACTCCAAAAAAATCAAATCAACTTCAAAAGGAGAAACTGAAATGGAACAGATTCTCAGAGTAATTTAATATAAGCAAATTGTCTATTTTGTGACAGTAATAGCAATCCAGCTCTAAAAATTATTGCCCAAATGTACTAATCTACAAAAAAGCAAGGGCAAAATATGATTACTTAAAATCTTTTCATTGAGTTTATCTTTTGGGAAAAAAAGGATAGGAAAAAAGTCAAATCAAAATTTTATGAATTTAGCTGAAGGAAACGATATATTGAATAACATCAGTATTGGACTCAGATCATCAAATGAGTTTGTGACTATCTGGACAGGTATGTGTAATGGTTCTATCAAGAAATGTGAAGGATATCAGGGATTGAAAGACAAAGACTGATTTTAGAAGGACCCCCAACTTGTCAATAGTAAACGTTTTGATTTAAGTTGTACATTAATTTGGAAAGTTGTCTGTAAACAATTTATTTCAAGTGGAAATAGCTTAAATGCACCAGGGAAACTCATGAATCAGCTTACTGACAGTTTCATCTTTAAATTTGGAATTTTGTGTTTCTTAAGAGAAGAACAGTCTTTGGGGTCACCTCAGATTTTCTTCATGTTCTTCCTATCTTGAAGGATCATTTAAGGTCCCTCAGGATGGGAAAATTCCACTATTTTATGACCTGAAGCATGTAGATTTAACCCAAACTTTTTAATACCTCTAACATCCTTACCACAGTTCACTCCTCTCAATAATTTCTCTTTTAACTTACCCAATCTAATTTCAGGCAAACTTAATCCATATGTTTATGTTTACAGTAATGTCTTAGATGTTTTACAATCCCTCTTTTATGTCTTTTGAGTGTGGTGTTTGGTTAAAATAAATAAGAAGTGAAACTCCATCTTTGGGGGTGAGGTACTGTGCTCCCCTAAGATATACAACTATTTTAAGGTTGAAAGAGGTTTCCTTTGATCCGAGACAATTAAATCAGGAAAAAGGCTGTGCAACAGAACTGTGTTATTTAATATATTTGCTTTCCTTAGATTCAATTTTATTTTCTTTCCTTCCTCTTTGAACTTATTTCCCTTCCCTTATCTCTGGTCACACTGAAGTATACTCCTGGTGCCACAAATATGTAACATCACCTATATGTGCGTCTGCTTACACTCTTCTCTCTGCTCAGAAGGAAGTTGCCAACTGCCAGCTTATGGCTGGATCTAGCCCACAAATGTGTTTTATTTGGACTTCACTGTATTTTTCTCTTAAATTTGAGCCAACATTTAAAAATCAAAAAGCTTCACATGAAATTCTGGATTTCTGGCTTTGTTTGGAAAATGGAAACTCTGGCAATATTGTGTCTGCTTTTATTCAAGGTAGCAATCAGCCACAGCTGATCAATGTCTATTCTTTTAGATGGAATTTGCACTTAATTATGACTTTGTTGAAAGAACAAACCTGGCCCCATTAAGTTACTTACATTACATTCTTGGCTTCTTTAGGTTGAGTTTGAGACATCTGCTATGAGATATGGATGATATAAAGGACAAAAGACACAAAGGACAAAAGACACAGGTTTTGCCCTCTGAGACATATTATCTAGTTGGGGGGCAGGGCATATTTGACAAATTAAGACTATAAGTGTTAAAAAGCCACAAGAGTCATTGCAGTGCTGCAGGAATTTACTTGATGGGTGTGAGAAAAAAATAAATATATGAAATTAAGGATTTTGAGTTTAGAGACAAGGGAAATGGTAACAGGTAAAGTTTATTGAGTATTCATTCTGAACCAAGCACGTTTCTAATGCTGTATGTATGTTGACTGATTCACGTAATAGTTGTATGAGTAGGTAATATTATCCTAAATTTATAGATGAGGACACTGAGTCCTAGAAAAGTTGAACTTGAGGCGTCACAGCAGGTAAAAGGGAAAAGCTGAGGTGAGTTAACATAAGACCATATCGTGTTGGAGACCAGTAGACTTGGAGGCAGGCCTGATCCAAAGTGTATTGCCCGTGTACTGGTGGGAAAATCAATTACATGCTTGGAGTCTTATTTTACCCCTCTGATAATTATTCTTTTCTTCCTTCTCTAAGAGAAAGATTGTGCTTGTTGGTGGTGGGGTGGGGGGCAGAGAATGTGTAAGTGCTTTGTAACCAAAATGCATGAAGAAGCCAAGGATTCCCATGGAGGAATTACAAATCGGATTCACCAAATTATAGGACACTGGTTGGGTCACCGTAACTAGTACAGCTCTCAACCTGCAGTGAGCCTAACCTGGGGATCTTGTTAAACTTCAGTTTCTGATTCAGGAGGTCTGGGATGCGGTCCAAGATTCTGCAGTTCTAACAACTCGCAGGTGATGTTACTGCTGCTGCTGCTGCTGGTCCAGGGACCAAATTTAAGGGGCAAGGAATGGAAGGGCCACAGTGCATTAACATGCCAGTCGCAAGGGCATGGACCTTCTCTCCTGTTTCCACCTGATACTTACCAGGAATGTTAAGAGGCCTTCTCAGGCTCTCTCTCCTGCCATCCCATGGGGCCAGCCTGGCCAAAGTTTACTGAGATCCTGATTTTGGAGTCTAGACTAGGGCAAAGGAAGATGCCCTTTAGTACCTGTATTATCAGAGTTCTCAACAGTGGCTTGGGGTCAGAGCCATAGTTAATAAGTTATTACTTTACTTTTCATTTGTGCCTGTTTGTAACTCAAGGCCTCACAGGAGAAGGGCAAGGGGTGGGGGTTAGAGCCTGGGGCAGGATTCCAGTAGATATTCATTCCTCAAATCTTTTTTATCTACCATGTACCCGATTCTGTGTCAGGCATGGGGTCCCTGGCCATAATGCTATCTAATAATGCCCCGAATTCTACCTTAAACCATTGCAGAACTACTCATAATTATGTGGAAATAAACTGAGGAATCAATAGACTCTTTGTACAAATATTAGTTGTATTAGACACTGTTTGCTCCCTGCCCAGTATCCATTCGTCTCTTCTTTTTTTGGAATACATGTTTTTTAAATTACTTAATTTATTTATTTTATTTATTTTTGGCTGTGTTGGGTCTTCGTCGCTGCGTGCGGGCTTTCTTTAGTTGCAGTGAGCAGGGGCTACTCTTCGTTGCGGTGCGCAGGCTTCTCATTGTCGTGGCTTCTCTTGTGGAGCATGGGCTCTAGGCATGCAGGCTTCAGTAGTTGTGGCACGCGGACTCAGTAGTTGTGGCTTGCAGGCTCTAGAGCTCAGGCTCAGTAGTTGTGGCGCACGGGCTTAGTTGCTCCGCAGCATGTGGGATCTTCCCAGGCCAGGGCTCAAATCCATGTCCCTTGCATTGGCAGGCAGATTCTTAACCACTGCGCCACCAGGGAAGCCCCATTCTTCTCTTCTTTCTTGCTGATGGGGAACCAGTTTTGTTCAGTTTTCACTTCCCTACCTGTGACTCAGAGGAGGGTAGCAGTGGTGTACTGGAACTGTAACTGAGCAAGTGGGCTCATTGCCCACTGTGCAATGGAAAGATCAAGGCAATGGTCTTTTGCAGAGAGAAAAGGCTTTATTGTGGGGTGGAAAACAAGGAGACAAGAGGCACTGCTTTAGATCTGGCTCCTTGACTGGCATTTGAATGGAGTATTTATCTTGGAAGTAGGGAACAAGAGGGAGAGGGTGCTCAGAAATGATTGATGGAAAGTAAGTGCAAGTTTCAATGTAAGTTTCGAGAGTTCACGGGTTCCCTGCACAGGCCAGACAGTCCTTCATGCCTCTTCATGGGTTGCATGTACAATTTCAGAGGTGGAGGAGTCCAGTACATAACATGCAGTGGATTTTCAGCCTGCGGCATTCAAAGTGTGCTCTCAGTCATTCTAGTCCCTCAGTGCGCCCGTGTGATGCTCATGCTCAATTGGAGGGGCTGTCAGCAAGTTGTTTGCATATCTGTGGTCTCCCTGATACTCTGCGAAACAAGCTTGGTGTCCTCCATGTTACGATTTTTGTTTCTATCTTGTTTCTACCTTAGGGACCAAGATCCTTTAAAGTACAAGGTATAGTTTCAGAACCAGCTCTTACCAGCTCAGGAGAGACGACTGCTAAATTTTAGGAAGTTTGAATCAGATAAACAATCCATTATTAAAAATAAAATTATATAAACTTAAAATTTAATAAACTATATTAAAAAGGTAATACTCAAAACTTACTACTTTCTAACTATTTTACCACATTTTACTGTTATCTTTGCTCTTAAGATTACACACATCTATTAAATATCTATGTGGTGGGAATAATTTATATTCAATTGACTGTGCACCTCTTCCAAATTCTGTGTCCAGTAATGTCACATTGGGAGCTTGAAATGTGCTGTGGTGGTGTGTTTACATCACAGAAACTGGCGCATGCTATATAAATCAGACCTTGATTTTTTTCCTGGGTGAGCTGGTTGTTAACATTTACCAGCACACCACGGGGTCATGCTATACAGGGGAAAAATCTAATTGATTTAAGATAAACAAGGTAGCTCTATTTCCTTTCCCTTAGGCACGTGGCCCAATTCTGGCCAATGAGACAAGAAAATTGCTCATGTTGGGAGTTTCTTAGAAAGCTTTTCTTGCTTCTAACGAGGAGATACAGGGTAGATATGGGCTCTTTCTGTTTCTGGCCATGTGATGTCTGGATGTGACATACGTGGACGTTCAGAAGTTATCTTGTAACAGTGTCAAGGCAGGATTAACATGCATTTTGTTCTTTTAGTTTTTATTTTTTAGACCTCATGTTCAGAGAAAAAAATTAGCATGTATTTTTTATATTTTCTCTTCTAGAGGGGATCCTGATAGATGTGACATCTGGGGAAATACTCCTTTACATTATGCAGCCTCCAATGGCCATGCCCACTGTGTCTCATTCCTGATCAACTTTGGAGCCAACATCTTTGCCCTGGACAACGATTTACAGTCTCCACTGGATGCTGCTGCCAGCAGAGAGCAGAGTGAATGTGTTGGTCTCTTGGATAATGCTGCCACCGCCCAGAACATCATGAACCCCAAGAAGGTCACCAGGCTGAAGGAGCAGGCTCAGAAGAATGCCAGGAGGCAGATCAAAGAGTGTGAGAGGCTCCAGGAGAAGCACCAAAATAAGATGGCCCGCACCTACAACAAGGAGGAATCTGGGACTCTTTCTTCTTCCAAGGGCACTTTCTCCAGGTCATCCCTTTCAAATGTTTCTGCTTCCAACACATTTGGGTCACTGTCTAAGGGCATTAAAGACACCTTTAAATTAAAGTTCAAGAAGAACAAAGATACAGCAGAGCCGTTAGGGAAGGAGAGAACAAGTGGGCCGAAGAATGTGATGGAAGTGTTCAGAGAGGAGGACGAAGACCCCTTCTCAGGGGACTTCAAAGAGAAGCTCCAGTTCTCAGTAAAGGCGGACAGCTGTGTGCAACACGAATCCATTCTCAACCGTCCAGGTCTAGGAAATGTTGTTTTTAGAAGGAACAGAATATTGAGCCCTGAAGACATCTCAGACAGCAAGAGGGAGTTGGGGTTGAAAATGCCCAGTGAATTGCTTCAGAGACAAGGAGGACCTGAGGCTGACGAAGAGGGAGCGGAAAACCACCATGAAGATGATCTGCCTTGGGATGAGGATGAAGTGGAATGGGAGGAAGATGTGGTTGATGCTACTCCCCTGGAAGTGTTCTTGCAGTCCCACTACCTGGAAGAATTCCTTCCTATTTTCATGAGAGAGCAGATTGATCTGGAAGCTCTGCTGCTTTGCTCTGATGAGGACCTTCAGAGCATACAGATGCAGCTGGGTCCCAGGAAGAAAGTCCTTAGTGCCATAAACAGAAGGAAGCAGGTGCTACAACAGCCTGGGCAGTTGGTCGACACCAGCCTCTGATGGAGTGTTGGGTCAACTGGGTGAGTCTGCAGCAGTGGCGTGATGCTGTGGCCCACTGGAAACATTTCAGGCATTACCCACTCTCTACCCAGTACCAGACTACTGGGTTTCTAGGGTTTTGGAGGTGTCCATCTAAGAGGCCCAAATTCTACTCTGAGAAATACTCTATACCTGTCCACATAAACCGCTAATGAGAAACTCAAGGAGACCTGGGAATAAGAAAATGACATTTCTCTTCAATTATCTTTTTGATACTTTTGAATACAGAAAGGATTAAATGGATGACAGAGAAGGGAAAAAACTTTCTTCACTTTCCTAACTCTGGATTTAAAATTATAATCTCTCATCACATTAGCTGCTGCTTAATTTCTGATCCTCATAGCTAGGGATTCGAACTCCAGTTCTGTCCTTAGCTCTATGACTTTACCTGTTGGTGGAGACTAAAGTTCCTCCATTGGCCCGTGGTGTGATGCCCAACTTAAATGTGTCTAACCCTTCAACAGATGTTTACATGTTTACAAGTAATAGAAATGGGTCTATAGTACTCCTGCCTGGGAACAGAGAGAGGATGGCAGGTAGAGAGAGAGAAGAAAGAAACGGAATGTAGGGTACCTGTATGGACTGAATTTGCTCCCTCCAAAATTCTTACGTTGAAACCGTAATCCCTAATGTGACTGTATTTGAAGATATGACCTTTATTAAAGAGCTGACTAAGGTTAAATGAGGTCATAAAGGTGAGGCCCTAATTCCATATGACCGTTGTCCTTTGAAGAGGTAGAGACACTGGAGATGTGCACACACAGAATAGGCTATGTGAAGACACAGCAAGAAGGCAGCCATCGGAAAGCCAAGGAGGAAAGCCTCAGGAGAAATCAAACCTATCACCTTGATCTTGGACTTCCAGCCTCCAGAGCTATAAGAAAATAAATTTCTGTTGTTTAAGCCACAAAGTCTGTGGTATTTTGTTACGGCAGCCCTAGCAGACTAATACAGTGCTTAAGCAAGAGAGTCAGGGAGGAGAGAAAGAAGGATACAGAAAAGAACTCTGGCTTGTTAGATGATGTTTCCTAAGGGTAAGTGCCTCCTGAAACTTAAAAAAAAAAAAAGGAAAAAGAAATCTAGGTTCTCTGTAGGGAAAATTCAATTGTAAAAGTAAATTTTACCTTTTATGCTTATTATATACATATCTTTTATTTACTGTTGTCTATCACCATTTCTGCACGTCTGAATACATGTAGGTTCTACAATATAAGCTGTCAACACTAATACTGCTGCTGATGTTATTTAAATGGAAATCCCAAATTTAAGTTGAAACCCTACTTGAATAGCTAAGCTTCACTGGATTTTTATAGCCAGCCTTGCATTAAATGGAATTTACCATTGATTATGGGTATAATATAGAAAAAGCTTCAGCATGCTTCCTGATTCACAGCTGTCTGTGTTACTTTAAGAGGCACCATGGAGGATACAGATGCTTAAATCTGATGAACAACTGGCACATTCTTCCTCAATGAATGGATCGAAAAGGTTGTCAGTCATTGAATAAATATGTTACACTAGGGGATGATTATGTTCACAAATACTGCATTTCATTGTTCTGGAGTAAACTACAGTTGTACATGAAATAATGTACATGAAAGCAGTAATCACATAGAAGGCACTCAGAAAAAGTTTGTAGTGTCTCAGTCTTTCTCTATTAGTATGTCCTTATTGTAGATGCCAGGATCCTCTCTCCAAGTAACCCCCAGAATCTGCCTAATGAGACACTCATTGCTAGGACATAGGAGAAGTATAAGCCCCTAGGAAGGTACTACTGTTAACAAAAAGGATGCTTTCCATCAGTGCTTTGTACATCATTGTCAGAGGTAAAAATAATATAGAAAGCCTGACAATGTATTCTAGCAAATGAGAGGTAGCATAAAGCATTTTGAGCTGGCAACCAGCAATGCTACTTGGAAGATGCTAGAATAGTAAATGGAAAGGTACTCTTAGGGAAAATAAGAAAAGACAGGCCAGCAAAAACATTACTGGAATTCAGCATTATAGGATTTAGTCCTGCTTCATGGGATTTGATTACTTCTAGTTGGAATTTGTCCATGTTGCCCTACTGGAAGGGTAGCAATTTGCTCAGAAATATGGGAAGGGGATGTTTGCCCAGCAGGACTGGACGTTCTCACCAGGACCATCCCATTGGACTTTATGTCAGTTCTGTGATGAGATAAAGGGATATGAATTTGAAGAACACCTCAAGCGAGTACGTGTTCTGTGGGTTTTAAAACCTCACATAAAACTTCCTTAACATTGCTGGATTAAAAAGGAGAGAGCAAACATAATCCCTTTATGTAATAACAGTGAATAACATAAAACACAGTGAGGCCAGAATGGGTTGTTAGAAGGTGTTGGGGTTTTTTTCTCCAATAGTTGCGTTTTATTTTTATTAAGGTATCCCAGCTTATAGACTCCATAGGCTCATCTACCATTCTCTGAATAACTCCTGTTCCATTTAAAGGTAAATACTATATTGATGATTATTGCAAAGACTGGCTTAAAGTGTATGAACCAAACAGGATTACTTTTGGTCTTACATATCAAGGAGCAAAGGAGGCAAATTAAACAGTTCCAGCTCCTGGGAATTCTCCTATGCCCACTTCCCTAGCAGAGAAGCTAGGTTCTGCCCTACGACAACGTAAGCTCCTTTAGGACAGGGAATTTGCTCTGTCCTGTATTCACTGATATATCCCTTGTACCAAGTGCCAATCCATCACACAGCAGGTATTCAATAAATATTGCTGAACAACAGAATGTGATGCCTAGGCTGAAGGCGGGATGCAGATTACTCTGGTCTGTTGATTCCTGTGATTCTGACCGACTTCAGGGGTTCACATGGCATTTGAGGTGGGTGGGCGATGTGAAATGGAAAAGAGTTAACTTTGAAAGGCAAAAAACTTCTTATTGCAACACTACTCTCGATCCATTTCCTGCCCTAACTCTAATATAGTTGGAGAGAGTCATCTGTGCTCTTTGGTGTGAGGACTATTTCTTTTCTGTTAGCAGCCTAGCGTGAGTTATTGTAGGGACTCTTATGAATGAAAGAAGAAATCTATGAACAAATTAAGGTGCTTTTGATAATCTCATCGTCACACACCCTTCTCTACACATCCTTAGAGTTGTGACCATTAAGATCCCCAGAAAGACTCCATAGTCACTTGAGGTGTGCAGAGCAGGTCACGTGGGGATTTTCTTCTAGCACAAAGGCTAGACAGTCTGGCAAACATGATAAACTTTTGGGTAAGCTACCTACAGCATGAAGAGGACCTGCCAGGAGGAATTTGGGTAAGAAAACAAAGCAAAATAATATGCTTCTCTTTGCTGCTGACTTATAACCAGCCTAGGGATTGGAGAGAGAGTATTTGAATGGGTCTTTGACAGGACACGGACAACACAGCTCTGCTAGTAACCCAGGGGACCTGAGGAAAGCATTGCTGCAGCTCAGTTTTCCCACCTGTAAGTTGAAGAGGTTGGACTGGATGATTCCTAATGGCCCTTCAACACGGATACTGTAGGGCACACCTGAGATTTTGCCTACCCAACATACAGTCCTCCCCCTTTTTGGTAAGAGACCCCTTTCCTTTTGTTAGCTAATGTGGTCAGATGGGCTGATTGCACCACTGGCTTCAAGGGGGGGCATGTGACCCAGGCCTGGATAATAGGGGAATTAGATCCCCCTGGATGATGCAGTGGTTCAGGGATAATAAGCATATGGGCCTGACCTGGCCAAACAGCATATTCCATTTCCTTTAGCCACTATGTTAGTTATGCATATGGACATAGGCCCTAGATGGTCCAGTGTGTCTCCATTCTGAGACTTTTAACTGTTAAGGAAGAGAATGTCTCTTTCTGCCAAGGTTGCTGAAGAGGACAGACTATGATTCAAGAGCTGCTGGCACCCATCCTGCCACTATCAGGGGAGAGCTTACTTGATAATGCAGCCAACACCAAAGAAAACAGAGCCAAGGAACAGAGAGAGCAAGACTGGGTCCTGATGACACTTGGACCCCCTGGATCCAGCTATAGCTGAAACCAGCTACCTGTGTACTTCTTAATTATAAGAGCCAATGAATCCCATTCTTCACTCACTCATTCATTCAACTTAATGTAGTTTGAGTTGTGGTCTCTACCGATTGTGACTGAAGGAGTTCTGACCAATAGAGAAGCTCTGCTGTTCCTTGAAATTTCAATTATAAGAAGCCAGAAACAAAAGGCTACATAATATGTGATTCCACTTATATGAATGTCCAGAAAAGGCAAATCTATAACAACAGAAAGTAGATTAGTGGTTGCCAGGGGCTGAGAAGAAGGGGGAATGGGGACTGGCTGCTAATGGCTACTGGGTTTCTTTTTGGAGTGATGAAAATGTTCTGAAATCAGACAGTGGTGATGGTTGCACAACCCTGTGACTATACTAGAAAACACTGAATTATATACTTTAAACTGGTGGATTTTATGATATGTAAATTGTATCTCAATTAATAAAATAGAAAAAATTTAACTATAGCCATCGGAGCTCCTGCAGGGAGTGAACGGGAGCATTTGATCCCCTCACTTTCCTTGCTGTGAGGGATAGAAGTTACCAAAGCAAGAACTGCAGAATTGGGAAAAGCTTTATTTCAAGGGATTACAAAAGGTAGTGAAATACAGGGGAAAGGGAGTGCTAATATAATCCGGCATAACAGAGAATGGCCACTTAGGTTTGCTTTCTAACTACAAACACAAAAGGGGATCTCATTATTTAAGGTAAGACAGGATAAGCACAAAACTATAGATCACTGGGCTCCCTCATCTAATCTAGAGATTATGAGACAACTAGTTTAATACCCCTTGAGCTGTAGCATCCATTCAACACAAAGTTCCTTCGTTTTATTTACCAGATGACCAGGAATCGTACACAAGTTTGGCTGCAACCATGTCTTCCACCGCCATTCCTGGAATGGACAGAAATTTGGTTCACCTTTTGTCAGAACAACTTTTCCTCAAACAGCCCAGATCCCAGAACTGGCAGTCCCCTGATACAGTGTCCATCAGGGTAACAAGGACTGATGCCCAGAGGTGAGTTCAGGCTTGAAGTATTGACAAAGGGCAGAACAAGGCAAGAAACGCCCACCAAAGAAATTTTACGTATCCTTCAGACGTTAGTTCAGGGGTCAGAACACTTTCTGTAAAGGGCCAGATGGTAAAGATTTCAGGCTTTGCAGGCCAATTACTTGCAGTTACTCAACTCTGCCATTGGAGTGCAAGGGCAGCCACAGACAACAGGGAAACAGAGGAGCCTGACTGTGCTCCAAGGAAAGTCTCTTTATGGACACGCTAGTTGGAATTTCTTAAATTTTCACATGTCACAAAACATTCTTAATTTTTTCCCCAATCATTCGAAAATGTAAAAACCATTTCACTTGTGGGCTGTACAAAAACAGGTGGTAGGTTGGGTTTAGCCCGTGGTCTGCAGTTTGTTGGACCCTCTGGTCTAGTCCAAACCCTGAATCCTTCAGCAACGGACCCTCTGTCTTATAGTTTGGGGCACAAACCTTAAGCTTGAATGGACATATGTTCTTAAAGGCCAGGGGCCGGTTTTTATTAACTTTTGTAGCTACCACTGCACCCAGTGTGGAGCTTGATACGTAGCAGGTATTTAAGGTGCACCTGCTGGATGAACGGCTGTGCCGATAAACCAGTCCCCAGA